TTTTTTTAAGAAGAACTATTTTAAACTGGTCAAAAATAGTTCCTGATCTGCTTTAGTTGAGCCTGAATCTTTCACAAAGAGACAGTATGTAAAAATTCAGGCTAATCCTTTTGGGAAGAGATATCTTATATCCTTTTTTACTCCATGTGGAATTTGTTTTATAGAGATGATGATCATGTTAACTTCCATTGCATATCTCCATGGTGATCTCTGAGAAATACAGTTGGAGTGCAAATGTATATTTATATGGAAAGGGTGTCTTTCAGTATCAAAACCAGGTGAAAATGCATTGAATTCCATAGAGTCACACTAATTCACCCCGTCTTTGTGCCCGTCTTTACTTTTCATCTTGAGCAGTGAGATATATATTTTTATATATATATATACACACATATATTTCCTGTTCCCTAAACTCTGTGAAAACTAGTAGTGTAGTGATTCTATGACATATTAATGTTGAATAATTTGGAGATAATTACTTTGGAAATATTAACTTTGTTGTAATGTAGATATTTGCAGAAGATTTTTATGGAAAGGGATTAATTATATTTAGTGCCTGACATGGGTCATCATGATTCTAAGTATGAGTGAATTTAGATTAATTCGGTGCAATGAAAGAACTTACTTTTGGAGTTGCTGTGTGATCATTCTGTGCTGAGAGGCTAGAATAAAATACTCGGTTTGGAGTCATATCATTATGTTGACTCCTGTCTTGCCTTGATTATTATTTTTATTGCATAAAGATCCTCTCTACACAGCGCTGGTGATGCCACATCTGGAGTGCTGTTTTGGGGTCTGCACTCCCTGGTACAAGACAGACATTGACTTACTGGAGTGAGTCAGCAACGGGCCATGAATAGAATTAAGGGACTGGAGCATCTTTCATGTGAGGAAAGGCTGAGAAGGCTGGCACTATTCAACCCAGAGAAGGCTCGGGGGAGCTTATCAACGTGTACAAACAACTGATGGGATGCAATCAGGAAGAGGGAACCAGACTCCTCATAGTAAAGTCAGTGACAGGACAAGAGGCCAAGACACAATTTAAAACTTGTGAAATTCCATCAGAACACAAGAAAATAACTTTTTGCTGTGGAAAAGGAGTCTCTCTCTGTCAGGATATTAAAAATCCTAGTTGGCACGGTCCTAGGTCTAGGTGACCCTGCTTAAGCAGGATGTGAGATGATCTCAAGAGGTCCCTGCCCACCTCCACCATTATGTGAGGAGGAAGAGGTGGAGGTGACAATCTTGAAGAATCTATTCTACTTTATTTATGTGGTGCCTTTTCACAATTATGGATATGTACATTCCTTATTGTAATGAAGCTGGATGATTTTCACCTCTGGAATAAGTCACATTTGGGTCTTTCTTATTACCTTAATCAGCAAAAATACATATACTATTTTCACCTGCCCCTGTGATCATCTAAGGATTAATCTGATATCACATAACTAATTTAATGCAATTTCACATTACCATTCCTGAAACTTACCATGATAAATTGGAAGCTTTTTTTCCTGTTTGCATCTCTAAATTGATAAGCCCTTTCATCTTATATACAGTTGTTCATACAAGCTGAGATCTGTTGGAAGGGCTGACTTCCTCCTTTGAGCAGTGCCGTTGATTCGTGGGCTTCAGTGGTGCCTGAACGGGATGCCACTTATGTCACCATCTCTAAGACACAATCCAACACTGACTGTCCGGCTTTCCTAGTTTGTTGGCTGTCATTTGTTGATACTGAAGATGCTTGAATCTATGCAGAAACCTCCGCGAGGACTTTAGCCTTTGGGTCTTGTAACCAGTTCTGCAGTACTCAAGGCCTGCTAGATATTTGTAAGGGTTTGTTGCAAATTAACAGGCATTTGAATAGCTGATTTGGTAGACCAGTAAGTTCATCAGAACATTTGTGTGTTAATTACCTGAGTTGTATGGCACAAACAGACATAAGGGGAATCTCTCAGGACATACAGGGAAACTACTGGCTGAAACAGCAGTTGAAGGTATCCTCTGTTTTGTACCAAGTAGGGGAAGTTTTAATAATGGCTGATAACACTGCAAAATGCACTCATCTGCTTTTTACTTTTTTTTTTACCAAAATATTGTTTTGAAAAACATTTCTTGTTATTTTTGTGGTTTTATTTTACCATCTGCTTTGCTGGAAAGGAGCAGACAAGCAAGTTTACAGCCTGGTTAGTAGGCGTTTCCAACGCCATTCATTACTTGCGAAGCTAAAGCTCAGTGTTCTTAATTTCAGATCATTTAGTCTGACCATATAGCCTCAGAATAGGACAAAGATTTTAAAAATGCATGAAAATTGCTGGGTTTAGTTGAAAGAAGTGTCTATTGAATTAATCTTGATTGATCACAAAGTTCTTCCTGTTTGTGAGGGGGACATTAGTTAATTCCATTCTCTGTGCTCAGATTTTCGCAGCATCAAATTGAGTTCTAGAACTTTTTTTTTTTGCCTGGGGTGTGAAGCATAGTAAGGTATCCCCTTCTTTGTCAAATCTTAGATATATTTACTCAAACAAGAGTATTCTGAATGAGGAATATTTCAAAATGCTTCATTCATTTTCAGTGATAAAAATGGCATGCAGATGTTAAACACCGTCAAGGAGAGGAAGAGCAAACTTTGTTGTAGAGGACCATTGTAATCTGCAGTTGAATTGCTTTGGTACATTCTTCTCTGGATACTTTCTAGGGGGAAAAAAACATCATGGTGTTTATATAAGATAGATTTCGCCTTGTTTCATGACAATGTAAGAGAGAGATCCAAGCACTGAATGGTGGTGCCTGGGTTTTCATGGCAAGATTACATTGAAGGTATTTGATTTTATTTTTTTGCTTCATGAGCCTTAGATATTTCTATAGCTTTCAGTAATTTGAGAACAAGTGTTGAGGTTACATCTATGAGTGATGATTATTGGGTATTATGCTGTGGCTCTGAATGTCTGAAATATCTGTGCTTCTGGAAGAGTTTGTAGTTTGTCAGTAGTTTGTCACTAGATGTGTTCTTTGCACAGACTCTTAATAATTTGCCTTGGCTTCTGTTTTTATATCCCTCTTCTAATATGTAAGCGTGGTGTTTTAGGGAAGAGAGATCAAAAGAAGAAAAATTCATTCAATTTACAGAAAATCCTTCTGAATCTCGACTTCAGGTTGCTTAAAATGTTTCTTCCAATCTTCCTTACTGCTTGGACCTCCCAAGAACACGTAATTCTGAAACAATTAAAGGAGAAACATATCTGAGCAAGAGACACAGCAGTTTATTTCCCACCTTGAGTGACATGAATTATTCTTGGAACTAAGCGAACCAGGCAGATTTCAGTGACTTTCACTCTTGTAATGAACTACAGTGAGGCATAAGTAGTGTAAGGTAGTGGTAGCCAGGCTGGCAAGCAGCTGAGCAGAACTGCCTCAAAGTATTGGCAGCTTTCTAGGTGGGAAGTAAATGAGAATCCCATTAGACAAAGAGATGTGTTTACTTCTTTATGAAATAATAGTAGTAATTGTCTTATCTGAATGTAGAACTGAGTGAAAGTACTGTGAACAGACCAGTCAAAGTGTGTTAAGAAATGTTTGTAGAGGGCTTCTGAAGGCAGGAGTCTTCAATGACTTCAGCATGAATAGGGAACTATTGAAAACAACTCCAGTATGTGTCTTGCCAGATGTCAGTAATGGAATTTGAGGTACTAGCACGTTGTCCACAGCAACATGCCACAGATTTGGATTCCTGACTCCTTTACTTATAAGACACTGGAACCCCAAGCATCTACCCTGAAGGACCTTCTCCCTCCATATTTCATGGGGTGTCGTAAATAAGATGCACACCAGAGCTGACATAACATTTGTGAAACCATAAAAAAAATTAAGATAAGT